GAAATGAAAATCCTTTCCAAATCACAGCCAACAATATCGTGTTTTTAATGGCCGATGACTCAACCTCGGGAGAAGAAGACAGAAATGAAGAAGTGAAATAAAATAAAGAAACAGCTCACATCCAAACACACACACCTGAGCTCCGGGGCTCTGCACACCTGAGAAACGAGAAATGCATGCAGGTGTCAATCGCCGACCAAAGAATGGTCAGCAGTGCAGCAGCATTCCAAAAAAAAATACAGAAAAAATATAAAAACCATCGTGAAAAGAAAAGAAAACCGAACGCGCAGGCAGACGCATTACAAATTCACACCAAGTGGCACCCACAGCCGCAGAAGATACAGATACAGATACATCCGCAGGCGATTCACGGGATTGCGGGGAAATGGTTAATCATTTAGGTATAAATCTCGATCGCGTCTTTGTCTGACATTGCCCGTGGGGGCCCACAATCCAGCGAACCATCCAGTAACTCTCACACAAGCGCATATTGGACCATTAACGTCCTTGTCGGTTGGTAATTTTACACTGGTGAGGAAAGATCAGGGAGCTACGAAGAATTTATTCCAGGGTGAGGAAATATTCTACTAATTGCTCCCTAACCATTTTAAGACTCATACTTTGTATTTTGAACAGAGTGGTTTGAAAACTGAATGAAATAAAATCTTAACTTAATATCATATTGTAAAACATAACTTTAAGTTAGATTACCAATCATAGTTTTCAGTATCATATAAACAAAGTTTAAAACTATTTTAATAATTTAAACCCAAGTCATAGTGCTATATTTGTTATCCAGCTATGTGCTCAACTGATTATCCTCACTACCTATTTTTTCACTTCCCCTTATTTCATGCAAATGAGGTAAATATATCCAATTCGGAATAGCTCCACGGAGCTCCATGGAGCAAAAGATAGAAGATCAGGGCCGGGAAAGAGCTCTGAAAGAACGGCGACAAAAAATTCCAAGAATTGTGCGCGTCAATTGATTTACTCAGCTGTGCGACGGTCGTCGGTTGATAACTCTGAGATTTGTTATATTTGCTTCATCATCGCGCCACAAACGAGGCAGTTGAAGTCGCAGTTGGAAATGGATGTGGATGCGGATGGGGATGGGGAACCCGAAGGAGCAAGGCGATCTTCATCATCATCATCATCTCCACATCGTGGCGAGCACCGCACACATGTGCGCACATTAAAAAGCAAGTTTCTCAGGTGTTTAAAAGCGTTTAAAAAGAAAACAGACGCTATGGAGAGGTGAAGTTCGAGGGACGGGGATCCCAACGAGACAACAATAAACGCAGCCGCGTCCGAGTCCAAAGGAGAGTTAAAAATACTCCAACTCGTACTGGTACTATGCCAAGAGCCAAGATCCAAGAGCCAGTTAAAGCCATGATCATGATCTCGCGAGCCATGGAATCCGCGGACGGACAGCTGGCGACGCCAACAACATCTACAATTGGGGGCGAAATAATAGATTAAGCAAGCGAGCAATGGAGAAAATTGGAAGAAATAGAGATGCTTTCAATAAACAACATTATATTTATTATGCCAGATATGCCTTAAAGTTTTGGGTCATCAAATGTTAAGTTTAATTTCTTAATAACTTTAAAAATAATTATTCGATTTGGAACATTTTTGCACAGCAAAATCATGCTCTATATCAGGACTTAACAATTCGTAGGCATAGCCAAATATTTATACAAGGAAACTATTATTTTCTTAGTACACCACACTATTTTTGTGGCCCAGGCTGTGTGACGCCAGCGACGACGAGCACGTGAAGGTTGCCCAGCCGCTTGGCCAAGTTGGAGATTTACTTAACGAAATCAAGAGGAAGCGCGTAGGATCGCAGATGTGATGTGGAGGGGTTTCGTTGAAGGGGACTGGAGGTGGCAGTTAACCTAGCTGTCATACAGCATTGATTGCTCCGAGGCAATGGCAATACAAAGGCCCCACTGACTCCGCTTGATTGCTTGCTTTGCCGGCCCAATGGAAATATTGTAAATATATGGAGAGATGGGGAACCTGAGCGGGGGGGCCTCTGATGAGGGCGGTACATTTTTGGACCTCGTAGCAGTGACTCAGCATCTGTACTCTTATGGTTTGTGTGTTAACGATGTACGTATAACAGGCCGGGGGCTCAGCCAAAATGTTAAGTGCATGTTTTGATTGGTTTGTGGCGGCCCAAACGGATCGAGATTATGGACCATTTAATATATAAGAGCCAGCTTTGAATGAAGCCACGTTTTCCAGGGGATTGGAATCATCTTGGCAGCGAGGATAATGTGCAACCTTATGTGCATAATCTTCTTAAGAGGTGTCACAGGCATTTATTATGGTTAAGAAAAAAGTCCGTTCTGGCCAGCCACAAAAGCCAAATTAATGATGAGGCTAAATTATAGAGTTGCAAATCTGACGGTAAGGTTCTTGGGAATGTGTGTAAAGTGCGATTCATGAGTGTAAAAGCGTATGAATATCTGAAGAACTAATATACTTTCATATTTTTAAACAGAGATATAATGGAATACAATTAAAAATATAAAAAAAAATATCTTCTCGAAATTTTTAATTACATTGTAAAGCAATGGAGATTTAAAATGTGTTTTTATAACAAATATAGTTTAGTAATAATTATCCACTTACATTGAAGTCTAAAGCACATTTTACGGCTTCCTGAAAGAAAATAATGTAAATAATAAATAATAATAATTTATCAAAATATTTAAAATTAAATATTAAATTTCAAGTAATTGTAAAGATAGCTTCTTAAAATTGTAATGTAATTAACAATAATTGTTACCTAAGTGGGCACCTGAACTATTTTAAATCATCCACCATATTTGTTTTTAAATCATATCACTCTCCCAAAAGTACATGTGTATCTAAATATATTGTTCCTGGAAAAAGGAACGGAACAACTATCCAGTATCCTGAACTAGATTACAAAGGTATACCTAACTTGGCCATAAGCAATTGCTGGCCAAATGTTGCTCAATCCCTTTGTTTGCCACCCCTTTTTTTTACTCTCCATCCATTGAACATCTGCAACATTTATCCTGTTGTCCATGCAAAACTAGGCAAAAAAGGTGTTAGAGCTGGAGATTTAAGTGGAATGCGAAACCCTTTTCTACCTCCGGATGATGAATTAAGCGAATTCTGGAAATTCCGCAACATGCTAACGGTGGCTCTACGAAATAACGACGATGAGGATGCAACCGGCAACAAACGCATTAACAATGGCCTGCGAGACTTAACACCTGTGTGCCAGAATGCACTCTCTCATGGAAATCTCTACAAATATTTGACGTGAGCTGAATAGAGGGAAAATTTGCATTTGCCGTATCGTCGGCGAAAGAACAAAAGCGAACAGGCAAGTGCACTTCTTGGCCGTCCGCATCATTAACACGTCGATGGAGAGGTGCGAAAATCCATCACCGATTCGGGTATCTTTATTGTTTTTTTTTTCTTTATGTTTTCTGGCCTGGTTTAAAAGTCTGGCCAAGAGCGAATGGAAATTAAATTTGGAATGTTCGGCAGCGTGGAATTTAATGCATTGGCCATGGGCACGTTCGAGTGACAAATGTCAATTTGCATTCGATTTGCAAATGTTTCTTTTGGCTGCCGTTAATTGCGCCCCCGCCCCTTCAATCACCCGCTTTTAACCCAGCTCCCCAACTGTTTCCAATCACTGGAGTCGGTATCTGCCACTGTGGGCTCGACGGCGTTCAAGCTCAAGAACACACCTTAAACTGTTTTTCAGAACGCTTTGCAGACTGAAAAAAATTGTGGCATAAAACCTTCCTTCTGTAAAAAATGGATTACAAATATTATTAAAAAATACTACAAATTTTAATATACTATCTAAACTAATAATTTATAATTAAGTAACATTTTCTGCAATCGAAAAGAGAGAGACTTTGGTTGAGAAAAGTTGATTACCAACACCTTTTTCTTTAGTTTTGAGCTTAGCATTAACCAACTATTCCTTCATATTTCCATATAAAAACTTTTGCCCCCATTTTCCCCCGAGTGCATTTGTAACCTCTGTGGCTGTCTGCTATTGAAATTGGAATTCATGGGGCAGGCCAAGAGCCAACAACCAGCGACCAACAACCAAGAGCCGAAGCCAATGGCCATGCCCATGCCCCAACTACCAACTGGCTGCAACAAGTTCAAACACATGACGTCGCCGAGGCAAAGCAAAAGCAAAAGCCACCGAGTCGATTGTTGTCGCCTCTCCCCCAGAGTTGCCACCCCCCACCCTTCCGTAACCCCACTTCTCTGGAGGCTCCAGCCTCGGTTCAATGTCAATTTCGATTCGTCATCCGCAGCTGCGTTGATTTCTCGAGCGACCTATTCCCCGTCCTCTGTTTGCTTTTGTAGCCGGGTTCTTTTTTATGGTCATGTTAAGTTTGGACTTGGCTTTTAACACACGGACAGACGGAAAGCGAAGGACCACCGACGATGGGGTTCATTCTAGTGTATAGTAATTTATTGGGGCGACGCGACGAGGTTTCCCGGTTAAAGTTAAATGCGGACATGTGTGGGCAGCCGGAGGCGAGATTACGTCGGATGCCCTTGCATCTGCAGCTGGCAATAAGGCAGAAAAGCTGAAGTTGAGGCTGCAGAATCCACTCGAACGCCCACACGAATGTCACTATCATCTTGGGTTTACTTGGCGGCGCAGGCGCAGCTGAAAAGAGCAATGTTCGCTGGCAGAGGGCTCGATATACTAAATTGAAGTTACCCAGCGCACTAACAACACTTCAATGGGAGAAACTTATCTAATTATAAAAATTAGTTTGCAATTTTGGTTTGATTTCGTTCTTTAATAAATAATAAATCCTGTAAAGTCAAGTCTCTCCCCTTGAAATTTCTAAGGTTTAATATTCCCAATAAAATATTTCGTAAGGTTCGTATTTGCATACCATTTTAAAGTGCAATAGAGTAGGTACTGCATTTAAAATAGCCCCAAGATTTGGAAAACATAAAAAGGGTACATTTATAAAATCGTATTATATTTATTCATATGCAATGTTAAGAGTCCAAAATAATCTCAGGGCGTCCACGGTGCACTGGACATGCGCACTATGGAGCTGTCTCTCTTATTCTCAGTTCCTTTGTATTATAGGGTATATATCTTATCTGTTCAGTTCCAGTCCTCGATTTAGTTCCAATTTGTGGAGCTGGTGCTCACTTGGGCCTGATCCAAGGCCATTTGTTGTTGGTTCAACAACATTTGTGAGGGCTGCTGTTGTTGTTGTTGTTGTTGCTGCTGCTGTTGCTGTTGCTGCTGCAACACCAGTTGCTGCGGTTGATGCTGCATCGGCGGCTGTTGCATTGTCTGAAGCAGTAGTTCGCCCATTTTGGCCCTAAAGAATACATTCTGAATGGGAGTCATTTGCTTCATCAGGGGCAGAAAGCTGATCAGATAATTGTAATCGGAGTCGCCCACATGGAGGACACTCTTGCATCTGGCCAAATCCTGACTGGTGGACTGCATCAGCTGTTGCTCTTCGCGTTCAAGGTTTTCCAGGAAGTTGACCTGTTCATCCACCCTCTTTGCACAATGACAACTGCTGGCTGCCGCAGCCGCCATGGCACTTCCTTGGATTAAATTCGGATTAAGGCTTATTCCGGCCCCAAATTTTAATCCAGTGGAGGCAACTGGAGGCACTTGCTCCTCAGCCGCGGCACTGGCCAATGAAATACTCTCGGAAAGCCTTCGCAAGGCCTGCGGAGTGGAAACGTTCTGGAATTCCTGCATCAGCGCATCATTATCCGCCTCCATTTCATCGGGAGCCGAGGACCGTTCCTGTTCTCTCTTGAAGGTCGACATCATGGTGTCGGGTTCTTCCTTCAATGAACTCTCCAACTCCTCCTCCTCGTTGTTGCTACTATCCCTATCCTCCCTTAACAATCGCTGGCCATCCAGGAAACTCATGGCCTCCGCATATGACCACTGGTGACCCGGCGAGGGTGATTGTTGGTGCTTCTGGAGACCACTTCGCCTGTTTTGGCGGCGATAACTGCAACGCAGATTTTTCCACTTGCCGCGACACACATCGACTAAAAAGGCATTGAAAGAATAAAATGATTATGAAAACAAACAACGTAAACAATGCACTCATTATAATTTACACCGAAAAAGACTCATGCTAAAATAAAGATTTTTTCCATCACACAAAGTCCAAATAATATGTCTATTTAAATTCAATTATAAGCAATAAATGGATAATAAAAGTTTAATTATATATTTTATTACCATGAAATTAAATAATATGTCTCTTTAAATTCAATTATAAACATTAAATTGAAATTAAAAGCGATAAGGTAAATGTAACCATTAATAAAAACAAGTTAATTTAAAGTATGTTAGCAACGTAGATTAGTGTTGCCCACCAGTCCGTAGTAATTTCTCGCAGTGTACTCACCACCGAGTCCAACCGCCTCCGCCACTCCGTTCCAGAGGCGCTGGGTCTCCGGGCGGTTGGCGTGGTCCGGATGCGTCGAGTCCCAGAGAGCGGGCCGCTGCTTCACCTCGTAGATCAGCCTGTGCATGTCCATGTGGCTGCGTCTTTATCGGCAAACTGAGCAAAAAGCGGGCCTTAAGCCCACAAAAGAGGCACTTTGCCGGCGCGCAGGAGAAAAGAGATTGCGTTTCTCTCACTTTTTATCTCTCTGGACGTGGCATTCTCTCGGCGAATACCGCTCTTCTGACGGAAAATAATATGGACAAGTGTGCTCAATTGTGCACAACAATAAAACGCTTTTTATATTATTGCACTTGTTTTGCAGGTCGGGGTTTGCTCAAAATATATATAATTATACAATCGAACCAAGCTTTGCACATTTTTCTGTTGAGTATTTTTGCTTTCTCCGTATGTCCATTCACATTACAGGGCATTTGTCAAGTGACTATACCAATTAATTATACTATCGCTCTCTGGAACGCTTTTCACTCGCTTTTTGCATTATTTGCTGTTTTGCTTTCGGTTCTCGCAGGTTGTTGTTGTTGCTATTCTGCCAGACATTGAACTTGGCGGTACAGTGGAGCGGAATGCATGGAAAACGCGTGCGATATGGCGCACATGTGCTGAGGATGATGGTCCGTAAAGTAACTTCCTATCGGGGGAAGTTTCAAATATTTGCACAGCCGGTCGGCCGATTGCCGATTTCCAGTTCGCAACATGTTGCCCGTTGCCATAATCCAAAAAGGCAGGCGGCCAAGAGCCGAGAGCAACACATGTTGCTGCTGTGTGTGCAATGTTGCTGCTGTTGTGCCGGCGACAACAAGTGGACAAGTGGAAAATATGCGACAGCAATTATCTCCGGGCTTTAGCCGTATAGCATATATAGCACATACAGCCAGCATATCCATATGCTGTCGCCTGCTCGGATTTGCGCACGACTTTCGCTTACCATTCCAGGCCATTGTTGCTGCTGTGCTGCTGCTGTGTGTCTCATGTTGCTGTTGTCATCAGTTGCAGCTGCTGTCAATCTGTTGTCCGCTCGCTTTCAAAAGGCAAAACAACGTAAAATTTCCATGTGTCATTTCAAAAATGCAAATATGGACATGATCTGGTGCCCTGGGTCTCTCGGATCTCGTATCTCGGATGTTGTTGCTCCTGCAAAGTCTTCCACATGTCCAACTCGTCAGACGATCAAACCCCAACTGACAGGCAAGTGACGTCTAAATTTTGTTCAACGAAATGATTATAAAGGCATTTATGCATGCGTAGTCACCAGCCAGAATGGAGAACGGCGACCGAGGCCTAGCCACTAAGGAATCTGAATACCAATGGCACTCAGAAAAAAAGACTAAGCAGCTATAATCACAATCCTTTTAAGCATTTCAACATAATAACTTTAAATGTTTAAATCAATGTAGTTAAGATGTATGGAAAAAAGAAGTGTAACTCAAAATTAGAATACGAAAATAATACTTGTTTAATAGGAATATTTTTCATAATTTACCAGTCGTACTTTTTAATTTTAGTCCTTGCTTTTGAATTTTTCCGTCTGTATTCTGGCATCAAAATGCGATTGTTGCTGTTGCTGCTGCTGCAATTGATTTGTTGCTACCCAATGCCCTCGACAGACTCTGTCAATTGTCAATGTTTGTATTCAAATTTCCCTGATGGGGTTTTAAGTTTATTATGGCCAGGCCAAAGGCGATTTATGAATGCTTTGTTCGAGTCCTAGAAGAGCTTTGCAAAACAAAAGCCAAAGGCTCCAGCTGACCGGTATTTAAATATAAGCAAATAAATAAAAACTATCACAAGTGATTATGTTATAACTTAGATTCTAACGCCCCATAAATGGCAATTGCAATTGCTGTTGACGGCATTTAACGCTGGCCATAAACTGCAGTGGTTGCTGTGGTTTCTCGCTGATTGTTATAACAAATTTGCATAATTATGCCGCTTATCTTGGCCATATGTCTGGGCTCGGCTGACTTGAAAACTGGTAGACGTTTCACGTCTGCAACACGCGCCACCAATCGTCAGCGGCAACATCGCAACTGCAACTAAAACTGCCGCAACACCCACATGCAACATTTACTTTTGGCCATTGTTATGGCCGATGCTACATGTTGCTGCCGTGTTAATTTCAACTCCAACAACATCATAAATTACCAACTGCCAGAGTGAGGTAGAAAAACAGTTAGTTGACATTGACGCAGTGCGTATCATAAAAACGGACAACAAATTGATTGCCAATCAACAACATAAACACGACAGCAACACCAGCAGCTAGCAACCTGCAACACTAGCGACTTGCAACCTGCAACTCCACAATTGCAGGTGTCAATGAATGTTGCAAATAAGGAAAAGCGCGACAAGCGTGGCGAAAAACGGGGCAAAGAGAGCGAAATGTGCAGAAAAAAGTTAATTGACCACTGCCAATTGCTGCTAATGTGGCCAGTTATTATGTCAAACGGTCGGTCAGCTGCTTTTGCTTTTGGCCAGCGGCTGTAATTGAATTCAATGCCGGCTGGACAATTGTCACGCAGTTGATGTTGCAGCAGCCAACTGAAACTGCAACTGTTGCGGCCAACTGCTGCGATACAGTTCGGCAACTGGCAACTGGCAATGGCAACCCACACGAATCCGCAATCCACTATCCGCAATTCACAATCCGCAAGCGAATGAAAGATGTCCACGAGGCGCACATGGAAAAATTCCAATAGCAATTAAAAATATTTCCAACGCAAATGCAGCCAGCGGGCAAACCGTACAGCTGCTGTAATTGCACTGCGACAAATAATTGTGAAGCATTGGGAAAGGATAATATCAAAAGTATCTAATGTCCAGTTCCATAAATCCATATAATATTTAAAGTAATAAAAATTTCTCTATGTATCCTTAGTTGAATCTAAGCCATGATCAAAAAATTAGTTTTTTAAATAATAATTACTTTTATTATTTCAACATTTGGGTTTTTCAGTCTGAAGTCATTTTTCATCTGGCTCCTAAATTAATCCTTCAAATTACTCATTTAAACACACATTTTTCCAAGTGCACCCGGACAGATTTCACCTTGTCCCGGCCGCCTGACGATGTCGACTTGGATCGATCCAGTTCGCGTCCAGCATCCAGCTTCCACCATCCAGCATCCAGGCGCTACTTACTCCGAACCTCGTCCGCCGGCAGCATCTGTTTGGTATTGGAGTGGATTGGACTCTTTGGCAGCTGCGTTGGCCGTTAGAAATGCTAATGAAAGTCAGGCAGGCGTCCGTCCATCGGCATTGGCAGCTGTATGCTGCAGTGCCTCAACTTCCCTGCCTCACAGGCCTCCTCTCGAACTTCCCTCGTTTTGCGGTGCGTTTTGTGATTTGATTGCATGGGCATAGAAAGTTGCACGGCTACCGTTTTTGGTGGTCATAGCCAGCTTGGAACAGCTGCCTTGGGGATTTTGCCATCGGTATATATCGATATCTGTGGGTCTTAGTCTGGGAATGCTCTGCATCCATTCAACATATGCGATACATTTTCCTTGGCATTTATTTTTCTTCTTTTTTTTGCGAGAGAGTGCGCGGAAATTCTGCACACGTGTCGATCGTTCAAGTTTTTATGATTGCGCACAGCTTCCTGCTGCGGGGCAAGGACGTTTCGGTTCGGTTTCGGTTTTACTTCGGCCTGCCTTTGTTTCTGCCTGCCTTTCACCCTACCTCCCTTCCTCCCTACCGTCCAGCCCCCTCGGCAAGGCCCTTCCGTCCTCCCAGCTGTCCACGTCACATGTGTGCGCTTTCCTCGATTCCTGCCCCGATCACACATGCAATGCAGCCGGCACTCGGGCATCAGAAATGCCAGCTTGGCTATTTGCACGGCACATATGCCGGGTTTAAGGGTCTTGGAAAGTGAATACATTTATAAAAGCAGCATCACATGGCTCTGGATTAGTTATTTCGACAGATATTATTTTAAAGTTTGAATATAAGAATTACAATTTATACTACCCTTTGATTGAACAATAGACATTTTTTGAAAATTTTTACTTAAGTTCTTTAAGTAAATGGATATAAAATAATGGCTAAAATATTTTTAAATGAGATAATAATATTGTCTAAATATTTGTGAAGAAATAGTTTTCTTATATTTTGTAAATTGGAATTTTTCGGACCAATTTTTTGGTATACTTTTTATACAAGTTGTTTTAAAAAATATTTGTATATATTTATGCTCTTTATATATTTTTTTTTTGTATATTAATTTTAATTTTTTTATATAGCTGTTTTCCCCCGACATTTGGAGGAGAACCAAGATCAAAACGAAGCCAAGCAGCGACTTCAATCGCCGGCTGGCAACCAGTTCGCCTCATAATTTTTATGGCATGCAGCCGCCGCCGTCGACGAAGTGAAGAGCAGCACATGGCCACCGCCTTCTCCACGATTTAACCCCAGAAACAGAGGAAAAAAACATCGCCTGGCAGAGGAAATCTCAATGGGATCGTGGACATGTGCGTGGAATGCCTCGAGCAGCTGTGTGATATCTGCTCCTCACATTTGGCATCGGAAACTGTGCAGCTGATAAAGAGGGAGAACCCCGAACCCAAACTGGAACTCAGAACTCAAAGCGAGCCCGCATGGATGGCCAAAAGATTTATGTGGGCATCTTGTTGGGTTTTCCACTGAGATTTTCCTTAGCTTTTTACCGGGGACTGGCCATGGGAAATTTTTGGTTTCTACAATTCCTGGATATATTTCATAGAAACAGGAAGCATATAATCTTATAAATTTATTCTTGAAATTAAAATAATTTCAATCTCAATCAATATTAAATAACTATTATGTTTTGTTTTTGTTTTATAACAATTGAACATATAATAATTATAGCAACGATCACTGCTACGATTATCGGAATTTGGGGTTTAGCGCTCTTAAGTGCTATTTAAAATAAAATCGGTATTTTTATAATAAAACAAAGTATTAATTTTTAGCTGCTATAAGATAAGAACTTAAATTTACCCGAATCGAAGCTGTTTACTATTAATTAGATTTATTATTTCAAGTATATGGTTGTGACCTTTTTTTTGCAAAAAAAAAAAATAAATGTACATGTAAAATATAAAGCACATAGCAGAGCAAGGTTTCGATCCTCGGACCTCTGGGTTATGGGCCCAGCACGCTTCCACTGCGCCACTCTGCTTATAAAAAACATCTCGCACATATCTGATAAAATATCTTTTAAGTCGAGGCATATTACTAGTTCCGGTTAGGTTTTAAATTAATATGTCATTATACGGCATGTCACATAATCTCCATTTGCTACCTAAAGTTATTGTTAGAGCGTTTACCAAAACCAAATAAACGGATACTAAATATAAATTTTTAAAATTTATTATAATGTTCCCATAAATTCTCAACCAGTTTTGGAGAAATTTAAATTAAATTTCAAAAGAATTTTTCAAGAAACCCAATAAGTTCTAAGAAGTAA